GTAGAATAAGTGCACTAGATGAACTTGAAGCTGAATGTGTACGGTGTGAAGACAGAGGACCTGCCCTGTTTTTTCGGTCAGATCCAGCCGAATAATTCTGCAGCCAGCCCCAAAAAGTGTTAGTTTCCGGAGACCAGCAGCAGACACCGTGGCTGTATCCGTATTTCAGATTAGGCATTGAAATGAAATTTCGTTCTTTCCACCTCCCCTGAGGCGGGAACCTACACACGCCCATGCGCATACCTAACTTACCTTAAAAGTTAATGACAACGACAACCTGAGTGCCACCGGGGTCATAGGCCGAATGGTTGTTGTTCTGGAATGTAGCCACAGAGATATTTAGCTTCCCTATTGGGGAATTCGTAATGACTTTGAAAGAACATGCCCTGTTCAGTGTTATTAATAACACTGGACAGGACATAATTAGTTAAATCCAACTGGCTTTACCTAATTCTTTACTAATGGCTCACAATTTGATTTCGTTCATTCTTAAGCAGTCCAGAAATTTTAACGCCTATCCATAAATGAGAGTAATCCACTGATTCGGTTCCTAGTGGCCTAGCCAAGGACAGTAGTTTCCTGCCACGCCCATAATAGTATATCACCCTACCACAGATGCACAGAAATTACACTCAAAGCGCCACACAATACACTCGAAAGACGGAATTTCCTGCCCCTGGTACCCAACCTGAATGAAGAATTCTAGGTAGCGTGGCGCCAGCTGCGGACACTCTCCTACCACAACCGATGGATACATATATACTAAGGTAGATCTCGACACACACGCACCACACTGCAGTTTCTGCGACTACAAAATAGACACCCTGTACCACATGGTAAGGCAATGGGCCCACAGTCGATGCATACGAGCCAGGGCTCAATAACCCAACAAAGAAGGATGGGAGGCAGCTCCGATCTGAAGATTCAAGAGGCCCTTGTGAAACGTGTGAGAACAGCGGCCCGCGCCAATGTGCTCCTGAACTTATACAAGGGTCCCAGCAGGGACATAGACAGAAAATTTTTTTCGAGGGGGAGGGGGACAATCTATCTTTACGTATGTTCGTGCGCGTATATATGCAAAATTCAGATTTTTCGGAGTGGGTGGCAGTTTAGCCCCCGTTTTTGGCCACGTCATTGGGTCACAGTCCTTGATCTTGGCACTGAAATACCAAGTAAGTATGTGTTTACTTCTTCCGCTACCTTCCTTCCTGCCTGCCAGCCTGCTCCCATTTGTTGGCAGATCGCAGGTTGTGGCTGATAGTTACGCTTACTAAAAAAAATAACGGTTACAGAATTGTCGGACAAAGCCACAAATTTATTTACGCATTCTGTTTTTGTTTTTTATTATTGGCATTATTACTTCAGTATTCGATCAAGTTCATTGCCGGTAGTGGGTGCGTGCAAGCAGTAATAAGGACTTATCATTAACATCAACGACTGAAGAATCCAATAAGTAGAGTGTGTACCATAGGCGTGCAGTGTGTACGAGCGCTTATATCATCATCAGCATCAAAGACTGAAGAAGAAGGCAGCGTTCCACAAGCGTACACGAGCGGCTGTATACCAGCGGGCCTGTGCGGTCCTTGTTCTTCTTGTTCTTGTTAAGTGCCAATCGGAACACGTAAGTAACGCTTAAGGTTTTCCACTCAACTACACGTTTAAGTCTTTTATGTCCTGATGCGGGCGGATTCGCGGTTCTTAGCCCACTTGCTGGTTGGGTTCCGACCGGGCGTTCTGTCTAGTGGTGTCAACTTGTCCCCTTAGCCTTGCGGCGCATAGCTCAACTTCCGATTGCCTTAAAACGTTGAAGTTGACTGAAGCTTCTCGTTGCAGCTTCCAGCCACCGTCCTCGTTTGGCAGTGGCAGTTCACGCAGCGCTGCACAATGTTGCAGCGTGCTTGCCAGCTTTGGCGTAGAACTGCAACCTCATTTTCGCACCTCCTGATTAGTCGGCTCCTAGTGCTTGCGGTAAAGGATTCAACCAGCGCACGAAAAGCAGATACAAGTGGCTTCAGTCAACTGTAACATTTTAAGACTACAGAAAGCTGAGCTATATATACTTGTCATAGAATTCGCAATTACATAAGGCTATAGGCGTCTAGAAACGGACGCAAGAGAAGCAGGCATTATATACGCCGGTGCTTATGTAGTGCAGTTATATTTTAACACATGTTCGCGAACGCATAGGCTGTACCACAAAAATACAAAAAAAACCTGACACGAGCCTTGTTCCTTTCACTTACCCCCAACAGTTGTTAATCGCAACATGGGAGTGAATCATGCCAGTATCATTTGGCGAAGTCGTGAACATTTTGTTCCTTGTAAAACCGCGGGCCGCTGGTAACATCTTTACAAGCAGTACGCGGCCCTTGGGTCCCGTCTTTACATCTGCTATACATGCTTGATCTCGCTTATTGCGTTCTGCAGGGCGAACTTGCATGAACATGGACCCTTCGACAAAGGACGCGGGGAAGATCTCGCGCTGGCAGTTCGTGTCATGGCGCCAGTATGGCTGTCTGGCGACGCTCGCGGCGTTGTTCATAGTCTGGACCCTCAGCAGTCAACAAGGATTGACTCGGCGTTGGTTAAGTGCTCCACACCCTAGAGGAGGGGTTATGCGAACACCTACACGACCAGCGCGTCGTCCTACAAGAGTAGGTCGTGTGGAGCGACCGATCCCAGTGGGCCACCGCATCGAAACTAAGGGTTGCACAATACCAGAATTCAACCCCTTCGACCCAACCATCAAGCGGCACCATCACCACTAACCCTAACATCAGCTGGTGCCACGGGAAGCCGAAACTTTCTCATCGTCAGGTGTGGTTCCATGTTTATAGCTCTGCACTTGTGTAGAACGACGGTTTTGTCATCGTCAGTTTCAAGAGTTGATTGATTGATACGTAGGCTTTAACGTCCCAAAACCACCATATGATTATGAGAGACGCCGTAGTGGAGGGCTCCGGAAATTTCAACCACCTGGGGTTCTTTAACATCAGTTTAAAAGTATCTAGCCATACATAACAAGTTTGTATACAGGAGAAAGATCCGTGTCGATTGGGCGACAATCTTGCTTTGTTATGAAAGTTAGATAGCCAGAACTACAACCACAGGTGACGTTTCTATAGCATTTCAAAGGATCTCTTTTTGAACATCAACCACAGCAGACGTTTCAAAAGCATTCAAAGGATCTTTCCTAAAGCACTTTCGAGACCCGGCGTTGATTTGTGGTAGTATACGCGACGCAGAATGTTTGGGTTTGATTTCTGCTCAGACACTGGTATTTATTCTTTGTATTCGTCGGGTCAACGTTGCCAATGTCACTTTTTTTTGCAACGCTTATTACCGAAGGCTGTTTCCATCGTCACTGTGTAGATATAAACTGTGAATCTCCTGTGGCGCATGTCCGCGTTACCACGTACCGCAGCCCGTGGCATTCGGGTGCGAGCCACACACACACACACACGCACGCGCGCACACAGACACGCGCGCACAAAGACAGACAGACAGACATATAGAGATAGATAAAGATAGATAGAGATAGATAGAGATATAGAGATAGAGAGATAGAGATAGATAGAGATAGAGAGATAGAGAGATAGAGGGATATAGAGATAGAGAGAGATAGAGAGAGAGATAGAGATAGAGAGATAGATAGAGAGAGAGAGGTAGAGATAGAGAGAGAGATAGAGAGAGAGAGAGAGATAGATAGATAGATAGATAGATAGATAGATAGATAGATAGATAGATAGATAGATAGATAGATAGATAGATAGATAGATAGATAGATAGATAGATAGATAGATAGATAGATAGATAGATAGATAGATAGATAGATAGATAGATAGATAGATAGATAGATAGATAGATAGATAGATAGATCATAGTTTTCTAAACATACACTAGAGGGAACTCTGGCGCTAGCGTCTATGGGAGCTGCAACGCATGGAGCCTCAGCGAGCATGGGAATTATTGATAGTACACGGATTTGCGTAGTCTTCCTACTTCACGTTCATTTTGGCTTCGCGTGGCTTGAGGCTGCTTTGTTACGAAACAACAACTGGCAAATGTTAAGCAGTTGCGCTTGACCACCTTAAACACTCAGGGTTATCATTTTAAATCGGGTCACGAAGTTCAAAAAATGGTTCGAAACCAGCTATAAATGAAGCCACAAGCGCTATTCGCCACCCACAAGTACCCTGTGCCAGAGTCCCCTATAGTTAATTCAAGAAACTTTTAATTATAAGACAGACAGACAGTCCACCGCCACCACCGGTGTCTGTAAGCGCTGTCACGCGAAAGAGCAAAAAGATACCCAGGATGAAACGAGGTTCGTACCTGGGCCCTCTCCGTGGCAGTCCAGTATTCTACCACAGAGCTACGCCCGCGCTATGAAAAAACTATGCAAAAATGCCCTTTATAAACAGGTGTTATGTCGGGAAGGCGTTATACCAGTTGCCTCGCTTCTCCGTAGAATGACGAATAGACCAGACAACTGGGGCTGGGATCCTGCGGTTTATCGTTCCAAAACCACCACATTATTATGGAAGACGCGGTATAGTGGAGGGCTCCGGAAATTCCAACAATGTGGTGCTCTTTAAGGTGCACCGACATTGCAGAGTACATTGACCTCTACCATTTCGCTTGCGTCGAAACGCGACCGCCGCGGTTGTGCTCGAACCCGCGACCTTTACGTCAACAGCCGTGCACCGTAACCACTAAACCACTGCGGCGGTTCTGACAAAAAAAAATGATTTATGGCGTTGTGCATGGGCGCTCTTTTCCAAGCATACTGATATTCGTAGCCCCATTTACAACGGGTTCCAAAAATGCGGCTCTTCCAGCTCTTGCTGTGACTATGCTGTTCTTTCCGAGCAGGTCTATCGTCTTCTTTTTTGTTTTTCTGAGTGGCTTCCGGCATGGTGTTTTTCATCTTCCTAGCACCCTCTCCAGCGTCTGATAGTATACGGTACGGGATACTTACGGACCTCGTCTTTGTGCAGGCACGGCTTCGTAGACGTTCTCAAAGACAAGCTTGATGAGCACCACGTGATTCCGAAAGACTTGCTGTGCTTCTACCGGGAAATGCAACGAAACCCGTATTCGGCGTCACCGGACAATATTACCTTTTACGGCGACCGACAGCCACTGCTTTTCGACAAGCCGTTGAAGGAGGAGTTCGTCTCTGTCGAGTGTGCCACGAAACAGTCCCCTAACCGGACCTTTCACCAGCAGTACCTGCTCAACGCGGTTATCAAAAAGGATGTCGAGGACCGCTGCGCGAAGACAAACCTCTCGACGCCTCACAATCTTAGCGTTCTACTGCTCGGTCTGGACTCGATGTCGTATCTTCATGCGGAGCGGCACCTACCAGAGACGATAAGGTTTGTGCGCGAGGAGTTGGGGGCTTTCGAGTTGCGCGGATACACTAAGGTTGGTGAGAATTCCTACCCAAATCAGCGCGCTCTCGTCACGGGCCTCGATTTCGACGAGACGGTGAAGTACGCGCCGGACGGATTCTACGACAGTATCGTGCCGCGCATGATATGGCATCAGTATGCCGAAAGGGGCTACCGAACGTTGCTTCTCGAGGACTGGGCTCTGTACGCCATTTTCGATCACTTCGCGCATGGATTCAGGTTTCCCCCGACAGATTACTATCCGCACAACGCCATCCTGGCCATGGAGAAGGCCTCTGAGTGGATAGGGGCAAATCGTCGGCTGCCCCGATGTTTGGGACCGAAGCTGCTTGCCGAGGAAATGTTGGACTACTTCACTAGTTTCACGCGGCTAATGAGCGAGAGGCCTTTCTTCTCGTACTTTTGGGTGAACGAAATCACGCACGACAATCTGAACATGGCTGCGCTTGCCGACAAACCTTACCAGCGACTCCTCAGATCGCTGCGTTCGTCCGGCGTGCTCAACCACACGGTTCTCCTTTTTGTCAGCGACCACGGCCAGCGTTTCGGCGAATCTCGCTACTCGTTCATCGGCAAGTTCGAGGACCGCCAACCGTTCGCCTACGTGGTCTTCCCGAAGTGGTTTCTCGAGCAGAACCCGAGAGCAGCTCGAAGTCTCCTCGTCAACCAGCTGCGCCTGACAACCCCGTACGACGTGCACGCTACGCTCGTCGAGCTGTTGGACTACCCGAGCTCCGAGCGACGACACACTGCGTACGGCCGTAGCCTGCTGCACGAAATACCGGAGACAAGAACGTGCGCTGATGCGCACATCCGGCCCCATTGGTGCGCCTGCAACGTCCTCGGTGACGTCACAGTAAGCAGCGAACTGGCCGGGACAATGGCTCAGCAGGTTATTTATGGGGTCAACAAAATACTGCTGCAGGAGGCAGGGAAGTGCTCCAGGCTCCGCGCAAACCGTGTCCAGGATGTAACGGCGTTGCAGGCGGCGACGCGGACTGGGGAGGTACAAGAAGCCGCCTATTATTGGGTCACGGTTCAGGCATTGCCGGGAAATGGACTTTTCGAGGGTACAGTACGTGTCAGTGGCGACAATATGACCGCACTGGGCGATTTCAGCCGTATTGACGCATTTACCGGACCCTTCTGCGTGTTTGATAAACACATAATTGGGCTGTTTTGCGAGTGTCTCAGCTAATAAACGGCTTACTTCGTACGCAGGAGTGGTTTCGATAGTTTACCCCTCCCCTTTCTGATACCGTGCACTTCGCATAGATGCGTGCCCACACACACATGCAACCTCTACCCCCTCCCCCCCCCCCTAGCTGTTTAATTTCTAGCAGTAATATTGTGGTTGCGCACAGTCTCTTATTATTTCTATTGACTTAGACGTCTCACGAGTCCTATAGTATCCGGCGACCACCGTAAACACGTATGGTAAAAAAAAATCCCACATATTTGCAAGTTTCGCTGCAAAGGTCGTAGACGAGTCTTCTGTCTGGAGGCGCTGCGTGAGATATGGACGCCATCTGACAGTAATGTCGGGAAACAGGAGCTTTTAGAGAGTTCAGGGCCACAGGCAGGTGGCAGCACCATGTTGTTGGCAGATCGCTTTTCCGTGCATAGCGCGGTATCTTCAGCAGAGCGTTAAGGATAACTCTGCTGAAGAGTGTTTCTTAACGCCGCTTAATACGTAAGTATTCATGCGGTACCTCAGATACGCGTAATTTTTGCTTTTTGGTCGAAAATGTTTTCGTGTATGGACGCAACCACCAGATCAAGATGGCTGGGTGCTGAGGGAGTGTTTCAAACTTTTGCCGGGTGGCTGAAGGGTGCGACATACAGTAAAACAGACCAGAATTTCCTCGTTCAAGTATCCCAAGATTATGTCTTGAAAAATAAAACCGAAGCAAGATGCGCAATGCCTGAAACAGCGAAAGAGGACGATTCTGAAGGCTAATCAGGTCCAGAAACAGCCTATGATTGATGCAGGTTGTCTCTTGGTTGATTCTCACTTTAGTAAACAGTAAGAGAAGGACTGACATCACTTCCGTAATTTGACCCTCGCTCAGCGGGCTTCGTGGTGCAGTTTAGTACACTCTACTCATGGTGCGCGCGCTAGGGTTACTCAACGTGCGAGAGGGCGCTCCCATCAAAGCACCTTAGTATTCGCTCGCGCTTTGCCACGCCCGCTTTCGTTGTGATGTCACCGCTGGGTGGTGTCTAACGTGCGCTTCACGAAGAGCTCGCTTTCTGCTTTTATGCTTACTACTGATGTCCGCGACATACAAACAAAGTATACAACGAACCGCTCACGCACCACTGCGTCCAATGATATAGTGCTTCTTGAGGCCAACTCCGGCGATTTGTTGAGGTCAGTGGATTTCAATGAAATTCGCTCGGTACGTTCCCTTGTACATTTTCGTCATTTATACCAAATCACAGACTTGAGAGATGCGCCGATTGCTTGGAAATAAATTTTAAAGATTGCCTCGAAAAGCTCACCTTGCTTGCCAGAATTATTGGCAACACTGTATGTGTGACTTCGAGCTTGGCATGACGTCACAGTGACGCAGCCGATGGCATCGCTGCTTTGGCCGCTACGGCGTTTATTGTGCTGGCGACAAGGCGACTGCAGTGGTGTTTGGCACGGGTATAGCACGGGAAAGCTTTCCTCGATCCTTCCTCTGTGCTGCTTGGCCGGCGCTTCGCTGGCCTGACTTTCACAATTTTCATACTTCGCGCCGGCGGGATCAGTATACGGCTTTCGGTTCTTACCGAATTGATTGATATGTGGGGTTTAACGTCCCAAAACCACCATATGCTTATGAGAGACGCCGTAGTGGAGGGCTCCGAAAATTTTGACCACCTGGGGTTCTCTAACGTGCACCCAAATCTGAGCACACGGGCCTACAACATTTCCGCCTCCATCGGAAATGCAGCCGCCGCAGCCGGGATTCGAGCCCGCGACGTGCGGGTCAGCAGCCGAGTACCTTAGCCACTAGACCACCGCGGCGGGGCGGTTCTTACCGAATAGTACGCCATACACAGACAGGGTGCCCGCTTGGGTTTCGGTTTCGGTATTGCACCTTTTTGCCTATTAAAATTATTTTCAAATTTCCTGAGCATTTCAGCTGTTGGGCTCGTGACAAGAGTGTCTCAGAAACATAGAAACACCATTACCTTGACATAGTCGAAAAATCGCCGGAGTTTGCGTTTAACGATCCACATGTTAAGGAGCACTGCAATCACGGCGCGCGTAAAGCCCCTATACTTCGCAAAAGTACCCCTATCTACTCTCCTCCTCGCCGCCTCCTCTCCGGCAGCGTTGTTTCTTTTTTCTTTCGCTCGCGACATTGGCGCCCCCTGTAACGCGCCACGAGCTTAGCTCCGGTGGGGAGAGGAGGAAGTGGCGCAGACCGAAAGAACGCTGTACTTTTCCGAAGGTATAGGGGCTTTAGGTGCGCGTAGGCGCGCTAAGGGGCATGCCGCGGGGTCTTTCTTTGTATTTTGTGGTCACCTTTAGTAAAAAGAAAACAGAAGCAGACAAAGTTAGAACTTGTCTAATCAGATAATTTGCAAGTCGATTTACAACTTTATGAATGGAATGACTTGTCCAACCTCGTTGCTTCAGAAATTAGGGAATAAAATTGGCCTAATTAGGCAATTAATTACAACACAAAATATAGTCTTACTCACACAAGGCCACACTTGGCAACATGCATTTTATCACGTCGTCATTGAGAGGGTCGGCATATTTTTAAAGAGTCCTGCAATAGCTTTTCAAAGTAGCCATGAAACGGATTCAGTAAAGGAACTTATCTCCTCGCGAACTGACCGCGGCCATAATTTTTAGCTTCCGGCAAAACATCTAATGATATTTCCAATGACATATATACACACAACGCCATCTAGTGAGCAATTCTTAAAACTTGGAAGTAGCTACTGCAACATACTATTACAAAGAAGGGAACGACCCACAGCCTAAGGAGCCTTGCCCCTAAAAAGTAATATCTTACGATCGAAATAGAATGTTGAAAACGACTCTAGGTATCGGATACTAGGAAGCCACTAGAACGGAAGTTGAACGAATTTGTGTTGAAATCTCGGGCCGTGTTTACGGCAAAGCGACCTATAGTTCAGTCTAAAGAAAAATCCTCGGGACGGATGCGTAATTTACAAGAATGAACGAAATTGGTTAATTTTAACCTGGAGACTCACAACACTCTGACAAATGCTCAAGGTTAGAAAATTATACCGTAGGCCGGGAATCTAGATAGTTACAATAAATATGAGCAAACAGCTAGGCACAGTCTTCGCAGTTGAACTTAATCAACGTCAGTTGCAATTTGCAGCCAAATAGAAGGACACAGCTACGAGGATCGCGTCCCAAAGGCGGAGGACGATAAAAATGATGAAGACTTTTCGCACCTTTTGTACCAGTAGCAGCAACGCACGGTCCGCATGGATGACGCCATCAAGAAAACAGTAGAAAGCTGGCCATGCGACGAGTAAGGCTCACGGGGACGACAAAAACGTCGACATAAAAACCAATCTGTGGGAGTCAGCTCCACGCGTCGGTATAGGGGTAGCCATAGAAGACAGACGAGGAAACCTGCAAATACACACAGCGGAATCGTTATGCAGAGGTGAACAGAGACGCAGTAATAAAAGTGGGAATGTGACACCTACCAACAGATTTCTATTAGGTAGTATAGCAATTCGCAGTCTGCCCCATTGACACGATCGGCGAAGCAGTGCAAGAGTGGCAGTACGTTGGTCATTGCGATGAGTGATGCCCAAGAGGATGTCAGCAACGTATGCATTAAAACCAGTCTGCAGGAGCCCGCTCCACTGTTTTCACAATGAGTAGCAATGAAAGACAGGCGCGGAAAAGCTGCAAAGATACACGATGCAATCGTTACGCGTAAGTAAACGGAGATGCAGTAATAGTTGTGTGAATGTGACTCCTACCAATATATTTCTAAGGCTAGCAGCAGTTCGCCGTCTGCCGTGATGACACGATCAGAGAAGCAGTGCAAAGGTGGCAGTACGTTGGTCATTGCGATTAGTGATGTCCAAGAAGATGTCAGTAACGTAGGAATCAGAACCAGTCTCTAGCTCCATATCCTTGTCACAAGTAACAGTGGAAAACATACACGGGGTAAGTTGCAATGATAAACGAAGGGATTGAAGTACGTGTAGGCACTGCTACAGTACGAGTTGTGCGTACGAAATATTTACTTAAAGAATGGTTATTGAAGTTGCTCCTGCAGACAGGGGAATCGGCGATTGAATATGAGTGCTGCCGACAATCTCCACCGCGGACTCTGGCTGGACAGTCTTCCATGGCCATCTCATTCAGGAACGGTGAATCTGCACGCCTCGCTGCGTCTGAAGATGTGCAAAAGAAACCTGTTTAACAATGGCAATGAAAAAAGACATGCCTGGTCATCATGCACAAAGTTGTTGGTGTGCTGCACTCCACGCATGGACACGCGAAAGTTTATGCAACTAGTAAAAAAAAAAGCCTGGAAGGAAATCTCAAAACTACGAGGTAAGCATATATATTCGCGAACAAACACCGCAACCAGGAGCAGCGATGAAATAGCGCTTTAGGGCGAACACAGTTTTTCACCCCGCTTAGGTCAGACGCTGTCGAGGAGATTGCTTACGCGGAAGCACATTTTGCTCGAGTGCACTATCGCGCGCTGGCTACTTGACGCGAAACACGACTTTGCAAATTCATTCGGAACAGGTTGAATGTTCCTGACGGATTCGAGAGAATACCCGTCATATCCTACCTATTGTGTTCGCTAAGCATGAAGCTGTATGCGGTGCACCCGCCACCCGCGCTCTGTCCTTTTTCGATTCCGTTGCGGGAAAGACCCGATATGACTTCAACAGCTGGACGCCAGAAATGGGGGCTCTTATTACACATCAACTCCGCCCTCGCCCGCCAGGAATATTATTAATCTCACTTGCAACGGTATACGGGGGAACCGGCTGCAACGATGGATTCACGTGCTAGTGCTCGCATGGTTGCCGTGGTCAGATGCCGATGTATGGACAAGGCGTCTGAAACGTTCAAGAAAAGCATTAGAAACATGAACGCAGGAACGAGTGCTGTACTTACCGTGGCGAGGTTCGCACGCGTACGCGGCCGTGTTCCAGGAACTCGAAGAAATCGGGAGGCGC